CATGTCCTTTGATTGTGTATACGAATGCCGCGCGAGATCGTCACAATAGCAACATGGCCGAGGCCTTCGCTACCGCGACAGGCCAAGACTGCCATGTCTACCACTCGCGCGACACGAGGGGTCGTGGCCGGAAGCGCCAGCAGCTTACTGGCCTGGCAGCTGAGGCTGCCTGGTCAGTACCTGTCAAAGAAGCCAACGACCTTGGCGGCAAGGTATCAGTTGGGTTCATTAATGTTTATGGACTTCATTGCTCACCGAACACATGAGGTTCCTTATGTGCCGGGGATGGCCGTATTTTGCACCGAAAATCTGGCAACGGAGCTGGGAATCTCCAATGGCAGTCCTGGTATACTCGTCTCAATTGTGTACGAGGAGACCGATGGGCGACGCTACGCGATATCAGCAGAAGTTGACTTCAGAGCATACAAAAACAGTGATCCGGACGCACCATATCCACACCGAGTCGTACTCAAACCCATCACCGCCACCATTCACTTCCGCCTCCCAAATTCGGAGAAGACCTATAGCGCAACCCGTTCCCAGCTCCCTCTCATTCCTGCTTTTGCCTTCACCTCGCATAACGCCCAAGGCCGCTCCCTCGATGTGTGCTGTATCGATCTGGCCAGCTGTCCGACGATTCAGAGCGCATATGTCATGCTGTCGCGTGTACGATCGCTCGGAGGACTCTGTATTCTTCGTCCTTTTAGGTTGGACCGCATACAGAACCATATCTCGCAAGAGCTGCGAGAGGAACTGAAACGTACCGAGCTCAAGGCCGAAAGAACCAAGGCTTATTCTCGCAAGCAGTTGTCGTGGTTCTACAGTGTGGTACCGGAAGGACAGGTCGGGCTCTTGACTCAACCAGACAACAGGTTGCTCGAAGGGTTCAATTTTGACGTCGTAATGGCATGAATGACGGGTACGAGTTTATTTTCCATTAAGTATACATGACCCACTAATTCAATGTCAGGATGTGCTGAGTGCCATGAGTAGTAGAAGGCTCACCTATCTGATTTACCCCACTTTGGGCGCCTGCCGGAATCCCATACACTCGCGAGTCCCATGCTATCCCACATTCCACACTCGATCCCAATTTATCTCTCGATCGGCACCCGTCATTACCCCAGAGTCGTAGGATTTCACTCACAGAAATGGGATCTAAAAAACTGCGTAGATCAGCGCCAGCCGGACGCGATACGATACGGTACCGCTGATACCACAATTCTGCGAGCCGGACGCTACCAGTGCCCTACCAGTGCCACGATTCTGCCGAAGGTCTTCCCTTCTCCTGTGTTTAGTCTAGCCCATGTAGCACCATAAGTTTGGTTTCTTGAATAACAGTCTTAAAAACAACTAGAGGAGGCAAGGTTGGTCGTGGTCATCGTCGTAGCAGAGCCAAAAGAGTGTGCCGTCACCTCTGTCACAAGAATGTCACTGGTTCGCACCGGCACGGCCCGCAAGTGCAACCCAAAGCTGCAGAGCCTGCCGGCCTGAATTTGGCTCTTATTCGTGACTTTCGGTTATAAGAACCTGTTTTCTGCCATTATTAATAAGGGAACAACGATAGATAATATTCGTCTATGACGCTAATATTATTAGCCTTAATCTTAGTAAATTCAACTGTGTCCTGGCCCATGGCCGAGACCTCTAGAAAACCGATTGGTGAAACAGTTTAGACAGTCATCTAGTGTGTATTGTAATTTACAGTGGCCCAAGTGAAACCCCCCATCTTTTGTGAATTTATTCAACCCGACGCTCCATAGCAGTTTCGCCGGAGCAAACCGGCCAGGACCCGGCCCGAAATTCCACATTCTAGACCGCTTTCGAACGAACTGTCTCAAGCGCGTCAATTTTATTTTATTTACATCCCTGGTGAAACCTCAACCTAAAGGTTCAGCACCCGCCTCGAAGAGGCCCAATCCCAAGTCATTCTCTCTGCTTAAACCGCTACAACGACGACGAGACTAGGCCTTCCTTTCCGTATTTTGCGCTCTTGCGAAGATGGCTTGACTGATACTGTGCGGTTACACATGGACGCCGCTACGACACCAAAAACTGTAACGCACGAACACCGTCGCCCACCCCTTCAACCTTCAAGTTTCCCGGTTCCGAGTCTACGCGGAGCTCGTACCCTCTACGTCGTCGTTCCCAGAACACTGCAACGAATCCACAGTCCCTCCCGTGCAAAGCAATTTCCAGCAGCCAGTGCCGTATGCCTTAAACTCGGAACTGCCACGGGGGCTTTCGCACGACGCTGTCTCGGACGATTCCGTGAGTATATCCCTCGACGCTCTCGCTCAATCGCAGCGTGTTGAATTCCGACAGCACCGTTCTAACCTTGGATATACATGACATCCAGCCCATGTATACGGCGCGATAGCGATAAGACCGCACCTGGCACTCGGTCTCACCGTTCGTGAATAGCTCTCGGGACTCCCGTTTGACTCTGGATCGAGCCACTCCCCGGGAAACAAGCCGTTCCAGCGACTTTGGTACGGAATTTTCCCCTCAATCTCGCCCTCCTTATCCTCCCGCGTTCAGTTCCCGACCCATGCATTTACCATTGATCGACTCCGTCTACACGCGATCCCACCTCTCTATCACAGGCCCGATGGCGGGTGGACCGCACCTGCGTGCACCTTCTTTCTGGGCAAGATCTTAATTCTGGCAGGCGACCCGTTCGACTCGGGATCGGGCCATCATGGCCCAAGCTGTTTTGCTTCTCGGTACGATCAAGTCCTATCCTTCGTCTCCCGTGAACAGTCTTATCACTTTAAGCGTACGCGCTAAATGACTTGGTTGCGCATCACTTATTCATTACAAGATAGTCAAGGATGCGCGCCCTGGGCCGAATACACTGGTCTTTGATACCGGAGGTTCGTTGGAGCCTTCTAACTTTGGGCACTTATTTTCCATTGGATAGACTCGGTCGTTTTCCTGCAAGGGGTACCCACCCTTAAAATTTCCCACACAGGGTCGGAAAAATGCGACAAGACCCTCCAGACCGTCCCTACCCTATTAGCCGAGCGCAGCGACATCCAATTCAGGTAATTTTCCCAAGAAAAGTAACCGAAAAGGAATTTTTGGGCTGAGATCTGTGCTTGATGTACGCCGTTCTGCGCGAATCTGCGGTGTTTTGAGTCGATTTTTGTTGTACAGGATCGCACCACCCCGAAATGTGCCCCCCAAAAACCCGATTTTTTTCCCGATTCTTCTAAACATGTTTTCAGCGGCATCCAAACAAATTCCAAAAAGTGAAATAAGGGGTCCCAGACCCTACCCTATGAGGCTGTGTCTCGGCATCTTCCGGTGGGTACCCCTTGTTTTCCTGCTGATTCGGAGCCTGCCTATGTCAGCGGGATTGCAGATATCGTCTCCTTCCTGCGTGATCATTCATCCTGACATCGATTCACCAAGCAGCTACGACTCAACCGTCGGCTCGATAGCGGTGGGACCGCACCGCAACATGATGGAGGCTGTCGTCAACATTTCAGCGCCTTGCGGGATACCCGTTCGACTTGGGGTCGGGCAATTCAGCGTAGTCCACATCTTTTTTTCTCAGAAAGTCAGGGAGTCCTCCCTATACTCTCTTCATACTAATTCCAAATAGGAATCAAATTCCCAATACCTCCGTTGGTTACCGAATTTTGCCCGCCCGGATGCGAATTTGTAATCCAGGTTTCCACACTCAACCTACGCCGTAGTACGTGCTCATTCATCCCTCCTCACATCTAATTGATGCAGCTGAGAATGAGTCGTCGGTTCGATAGCGGTGGGACCGCACCGCAACATGATGGAGGGATGTAGTCAAAATTTCAGCGCATTGCGGGATACCCGTTCGACTCGGGGTCGGGCCGAATTCAGCATAATCCCAATCTTTTTTGACTTTCTTTCCTCAGAATGATTTATAGTCCTCCGTATACTCTGTTTACGCTACTGCCAGATGCCGCCGCCTTCACTCAAAATCCCAATATCCCCCTTAAGTTGCCGAATTTTGCCCGCTCGGATGCGAATTTGTAATCCAGGTTTCCAACACTCAGCCTACGCCGCAGTACGTGCTCATCCCTCCCTCCTGACATCTAATTGCTGCAGCTACGACAGAGTTGTCGTAGGCTCGATAGCGGTGGGACCGCACCGCGACTTGATTTAGGGCTTTGATTTCGGCGCCTTGCGGGATACCCGTTCGACTCGGGGTCGGGCCGTAACTCAGTATAGTGCAAGTTCTTTTTCCTCGGAATGTTTTACAGTCCTCCTTATACTCTCTTCATACTAATTCCAAAGTAGGACTCAAATTCCCAATACCACCCTTGGTTACCGAATTTTGCCCGCCCTAAAGCGAACTTGTAATCCAACAGTACGTGCTCATTGATCCCTCCTGACATCTAATTGATGCAGCTGCGAATGAGTCGTCGGCTCGATAGCGGTGGGACCGCACCGCAACTTAATTTAGGGCTTTGATTTTGGCGCCTTGCGGGATACCCGTTCGACTCGGGGGATTGGGCCTGAATTCGGCATAATCCCTATCCTTTTTGACTGGCTTTCCCCAGAATGTTTCATAGTCCGTATACAGATTCCAGGTCCCACCTGCCTCACTCAAATTCCCTAGATGCGAATTTGCGTCCTAGCTTCCAACACGCATGTCCGAATTTCTCCGTTCCACTCGAGCTCGGATCAGGGCGCAACTTGTACGAGATGCGATTTTTTCCCTGCCTACTGCCCCAGCTCATGCGTTTTATCTCACAGACTCGTCTGTGTCCTGCACCGGCGCTACCATCCTTCACCACTCCGATATGTTTCCCCTCTTCACACGGCGTCGTCCCGAACTACATTCCGGTTCTGGGCTTCAGTATTTCCTACTGTATGATAGCTCGCACCGCGCCACTGACAACTCGCGGAGTGTCGGTCCATTGCCTTAATTTTTCTTCCTCTCTCCTCTTCTGCGTGCGTGCAATCTGATTTCAAACTCGACCAGATCACCCATATTCACTTCTACTAACAACGCCGACGTTGGCCAGTGGCAGGCCCTCTCGTTCTATTATCCTGAATGAAAAAGTCTATGAGAGCTACGGAGGTTCGATTCCTCCCGACGGCGTGTGAGGATTGGCAGTTGGATTTTTTGTTTCTGATTGTTCGCAACGGGTGCGTGATTTCTGAATGAAACGAGACTCTGATTTTGTTACAGCGACTTTCTCTGAAAATCAGGGCAACCGTTGAAACGGTGCAGTGGCGTGCAGCCGTGAAATCTAATACCAAACTGAGTGAAACGAAGTCCCACAAAATCTAATACCAAATCTAACAACTAACAACTCCAATACTAACGTGTGTGTGTTCGGGGATGTAGGTCAGGCGTATCGACCTTCAATCTCAAACTGGCGCCAACTCGATACTTCTTAACTTGAATAGTCAAAACAAAGGTCTATTAAGCACCTCAATTAGATTACTCTCGTGTTCTAAACAATGTGTAGGACTGGTTTAAGGTCACAGAGTGTATATAGAGTCAACCCCAAGTTGATTAGTTTTTAACGGCTGGTTGGTTTGAAGACAACTAAGACTCTAATACAAGAGCTTATTGAATTCTCAATGGGTGTAAGTACAAGTTGTAAGAGCGGCTAATTAGGCACGGTCTTAACAAAATGAAACTTAGAGCTACTAAGAGCTGGGTGCCAACAACTGGGGGAGTATTTCACTGCCTAATTATTACTGTACATGTTGCTTTTATAGTATTTACTACCTATTAATCTAACCACCGAGGTGAATAACTTCGGATAGCTATCCGGATACCTTTGATCTCCTGGCCGTTTATTGGCTAACAGTCTCTTGCTGACTGAAGGACTTGAGCTCATTTATATTGAACCAAGCCCTTTGGAATTTACTTGGCTCCTAGCCTTGTTGAAGGCCTGAGAGAACTCCCGGAAGGCTTTCCGTGCCTAGTCCCTATGCCTATAGGTCTGTCTAGACCGTTGAAGCGTCATCTGTCTGTTGTAGTTAACTTCCTTGAAGCCAACTCGCCTCTCTCTTTAAAACGTGATCAAACGCGATCACATGATACTTCAGGGCCGGTTTTTGATCAACCGCGCTCCCAGTTAAATGCCCTTCTAGTAGCCTGGTCTAGTTTATTTCCTTACTTCTGTAGTGCACATTTTAATAGTCTTATGCTGTTTGAATCCTTCCAAAGTCCCTTAGTCGCCTGACGTCCATATTGAATCCGAGCTTGTTACATCTTTGACATATAACTTGCCAGGATATTCCTATAGCTAGCTGGGTTTTGCTCAGTCACTATTGCAGGCCCCATTTGTGAAGGTACCGTTAATACTGCCTGACTTTGATAGTTATGCTAGTTTGCAACGCTTCAAAGGCTTAATGCTCAGTTCCGGGATTAAACTAGCATCCTCTAGTCTTACTTCTTGTATACAGCTATCCGCGTGTACTAGTGTAAAATCGATGAATTCAGGTGTGTATTGATACACGCCTTATCACCGAAACGCCGAGACCGACGTCGAAGTGCCGAGCGTTATTTGGTTGCCGCATTGAGTGCAAACATCGGACCGTCTTCTGCACTCACCACTCACCACTGCCACCAGCAAGCATTCGAGCGGATCTTTGCTATTTTCATGTGGTTCTGGCTCTCAGTACTGAGTACCGAGTACTGAGTCGTCCCCGATCCTCACTATGGGCGATATACTGTGCAAAAATTAGCCAAAATTTACAGGGTTTTCAATGACAACTTACATCTGTATGGTTGATCTTGGGTGACAACTTGTTAAAAGCTCACATCCTCAATATTGATGCAACCCTTTCAAACGGCTTACAACTTTGTAAATGGTTCGCATCTCGGTAAAATTCGGAGTGATCGCCGAGCTGTTCGGATCAAATCAGGATCAACTCGCCTGGGATCAATAACAATTGTAGCGCGCTTTGCGGCAGAGCCCACTAACTTGGGTGTGTCAATTATACACCATTTCAACGTATAGGCTCAGTTGGATTAATGATCTCCGAATTTTACTTTCTTGCCTCTATAGTATCCAAGTCCATCTGAATATCTCGAAGAGAATAGACGTGAAGGATGATGAAGAGGCAATGAAATGTGTTGAAAAATCCATGGAGGCGTGGCTTGATCACGAACTCGAGTCATCTTCCAGAGTCCGGGATATATTAGTCGGCCGCATGGAACTTGACTCTGATACACGGAAACTTGTCAAGATATCCTTGAATTTTCGCCATTATCTGAGAATCGCATCCCCGGACCACTGCTGTGCACTCACAAAAATGGTTCTCTCAGGGCACAGCTTAGCGGTTGAAAGTCCTCGTTGGAAAGAGTGCGGAAAGAAAATTGTTCCGCACCAATGGAGGCTCTGCCGCTTTTGTTAAGTATGCTTATGTCGAGGACCCGGCACACGCTATGTTTGTGTGTCAGAACCCTGACTTGATCCTCATTCGTTCCTTATTTCTTGAAAACATTGAGAAATTAGTCCTAGGCATCGCGAACCTGTTTCCCGATGCACTTCAGACATTCAAGGGTTTCCTGGCAAAGAGAGAAATTACACCTCTCTTGGGAAAGCTGGCATTCGACGTCTTGAAGATATTTGATGCGACTCCCATGCTTCTTGTAAATGACCGGGCGGCCTAAACCTAAGCAGCCTGTCTAAAGCTTTGTTGGTTCCTTCTTTCCTATTCTCGGTGTGCAACTTGTTCGGTCTTGAAATTTTGTTTGCTTCTCGGCTGTGGACCTGATATGGAGTCGAACACGTTATTTTACTTAGCTGTGGACCTCCTTTAGAAGTTGAACACGCTGAATCTGTGGTTTATGTGCATGCATTCTGCAAAGGGAAAGATATTCGACAACTTTCTGCAGCTAGTGAACACCGGCCATTTGTACCTCGGAGGAGGGAACTCCTCCTGTAACCAGTTATATTTCATATCTGCTCCGGGTCAGGTCCGCTTTTTTGACACCCCACGAGGTTCCACCCAGAGGTCCTGCTATACGGTCGGCCAGATACAGTAAGCTAGCGTCTTGTTTGAATTTGATCGACCCCCCTGGAATGGTGTGTGCTCTGTTGGCATCTTGTAGCTATATGTAAGGGAAACCACCCGTACATTACTACTCATTTGTCTTCGGTAAACTCGTTGTTCAGACATTTGGACCATGCGAGTATAATAAATCCCCCAGGCAAAGGGAAAGTAACTTAAACATACAGAAAAGTCCAAGAGGCCACTGGGTTGATTCAAACATCAGCGGAATCGCCGAGTCAGCAGAAACAAGTGTTAAATTATCGATGGATGGCGGGTTTCATATTGTCAGTCTAGAAACAACTGCCAATTATACATTTAGACTCTAGATGGCTATGTTCTAACTCAGGGCTCCCACTGGTGGCAGTGGCAAATAATTAGTATCTGCCATGATGCAGGGCATGAATCAAGGGGGAGAGACATGACAACAAGCCTGTTGATTACAAGTATATTGGTGGACTTTCCGATTGTCATTTAGTGTGGCCTCTACTGCTTGTAAAGCCCTGACTCAAATATAAATTGTTCATAGTAATCCAAGTGGCATTGTGTGACCTCAGAAGCATCAATTGGGCCCCATTCTCGCTCGGTCGACATGTCGACCAGCTCTCATAGGGCCCAGCACAGGATACTGACTCCTGAGTTGTATCTGCACAATGTTCTTTGAGCAAAAGAATATGATTGAGTCTTCTATGCAACTTCTATGCAATGACAGGACATGAAGAAAATTGGCAATATGTAAAGGCTAGGTACAATGAAAGACATTGAAGAGAATTTTGAGGAGGAAAAATGAGTTTTCATGATCCACATTGGCTGAAACATCGGCCAAGGACACCGGTCAAGCAAGCCAAATACACGGATGAACAACTGTAAAGGAAACATCGGGTGGTCCCGGAAAAAAAATTAAAGGCTGCACGGCTGGGGAAGCCCTTACATAACACATTTTGGCACGGAAGACATCGGGTGGAACCGGAGAAATAATGGCAGCTACATCAAAGGATCAATCAAAAAGGACTGATCTTATCAAAAAGGGATCATTACTGCCAAAAAGTTTTGATAGGGCGCTACAGGACCCACTACCTAAAGTTAGTGGGCATTTGAACTCTGTCGGTCACCTCGCAGTTCTGGCTCTCCACAGGCTCCTCGGATGTGGTATTTCAAACTCTGAACAATTAAAACAATGGCATGTAACACAGTAGAGCTTGGATATGGAAAAGAAAAACGAGAATGACTGCAAGTCGACCTCACAAACCTATGGCGGTCCAAGTGCACTTTTAATCAACCGACACTTTCTTTGGAAATTTTCGAGTTTCCGACACTTTTATACAAAATTTTGACCATTCCCGACACTTTTATAGAGCTTTGAGGACCAATAAGTAAGTGTCGGAAAAGGTCAGTTTCCCCCACACTTTTATTGACTGGTTTCTGACTTCCGAAACTTTTATTGACTCACTTCAAAATCCCGACACTTTCTTTTGTCAGTCGAAAATTTCCGACACTTTTATTTTCGAGTCAAAAAATTTCCGACACTTTCCTTTCAACTCGGAATCTCCGACACTTTCTTTTGGTGAGTCGACTCCTCCCGACACTTTTATTTCATGCTGAAAAAGAAAACTCTCCAAATCGATATCTGGGGTATGGTAGCGTCAACTCAAGTAGTGATGTGCCGGGTCGGGCTTGAAGCCCAACCCCAGGCTTGGGTCGGGCTTTCAAGCCCGGCCCAGGCCCAACCCGCACCGGGCTCAGGTAGGGCTCAGGGTCGGGCCTCAAATTTTGCCCGACCCGCGACCCGGGCTCAGGCCCGGGCTTCAGCCAAAAATTTTGGGCCTGGCTCCAGATTCACATATACTTGCAGGATAATTGTAGGATATTGATATGATGCTCTCATGGGTATTCTGAAAGGCACCTTGAAGCCAGATAGCGAATAATCATCATTCAGTCCACTATCTGTTGTGACGAGCAAAACATTAACCAGATTGGATATCCCATGAAATGACTGCCACAATTATTTCTGGGCGCATTCAGATCTTCAAGGGAGAAATATCAGTGCCTGGAAAACTCATATATGTCAGAATGGCTTGAACAGAG